ATGAGTTACATCAGTTATTGACCTTATCAATTATTATTATTTCATACCTCGTGTTTCTGTTTCAGACAATGTCAAAAAGACGCCTCAAATGGGAGGCCTGATCGACGACCGGGCCGCGGAAACACTAAGCCCGAAACCATCTTAAAGATAACCTATACCTTTATTACTCCGTTTACTTATCAAAGACGAGATTAAGCAAGAAACATTCACGTTAGAAATAATGTGCTGAAGAGAATTCTATTTACCTATAATTCTTCAAAAGGTTATAAATTAAAATGGTCAGAAAAGCCTCGTATTTATCGGTAAATCCCAATACAAAACAACGGGCATTGCTACTTTAGCTAACTAGACCTATGCGTTAGTTCTGTTATTATGTACCCCGTACCCATCCCGTGAGCAGTGGTACCCCGTACCCATCCCGTGAGCAGTGGTACCCCGTACCCATCCCGTGAGCAGTGGTACCCCGTACCCATCCCGTGAGCAGTGGTACCCCGTACCCATCCCGTGAGCAGTGGTGGGAAGGCTTACAGAGGGCTCAAACTCTGTGAGCAGGAACTGCGGCATGATCTCCCACACTACATCATCAAATGCCCAGTTATTAGACCATTCAGACCCGTTGGCATGAGCGCTTATATGAGGTACCTGGAGCTTTGCAATTACTTTATTCACTCTCGTGTTCTTGAAGATATCCTTATAATGTACCCAAAGTTTGCCAGTGCCGGCTACTGAACATAATAAATAAAATGTGTCGCATTAATAAATTGTTGTCATATGCCAATTCGTTATTAAATTTGTTTTAATATGGGATGATATATTAAAACATTAAATCGTGAGGGGATATCGGTTTCGATATCCCCGATATCGAAGAGGACTTCGGTTTCCTAGTTCTGAGGTTCCGGGTTCGATCCCGGTGAAGGCGGAAACAAATGGGCAGAGTTTCTTTCACCAAGATGCTTCTGTTCACCTAGCAGTAATTTGTACCTGGCAGTAATTTGTAAAGTAATAGGTACCTGGGAGTTAGACAGCTGCTACGGGCTGCTTCCTGGGGTTGGAGGCCTGGTCGAGGACCGGGCCGCGGGGACGCAAAGCCCCGAAATCATCTTGAGATTACCTTGAGGTGCTTCCAGGGCTTAGCGTCCCCGCGGCCCGGGCGTTTACCAGGCCTCCTGTCGGCGAGTTATCTCAAGATATAAAAAACAATTCCTATATGTAGCCTAACAGTAAAACAAGAGTACATCGCGAGTACATGTTATTACAAATTTTTAAAATTTTAAATTTTGCCCCGAGGGGCGAGTTTTTTGGGCAGCGCCACTCATCTTGTGAGTGAACATACCGCCATAGCAGAATGTACAACACTCCCCAATAGGAAGAAAACCCGCTGGGTTGTACTCCATCTACTTTATAAACTGAAAAGATGCATAGCCTGTATGTCACTGTATCACCCATACCACTGATCAAACCGAACTTTAAGAATAACTAATACAAATATCCAATACTGCAAGATCTCTCCGTATGCTACACAAGAACCAGGTACTGCAGAAGGCCTATTGGCCCATGCGAGGCAGCTCCTATTTATAACCCCCCAAAACCCACTCATATACATGTCCAACCCACGCTTGAAACAAAAAAGGAATTGTTTGCTGGCTACAAGTATGTTTATTGAGACAATAAAATACATCTCGAAGGGATAGAATAACTTTGGCTATTTCTACCCTCCTCCCCCCCCCCGTCCCAATGCTGGCTACGTCTTTCCAATGTGTGGACAGATTTTTCACTTTTAGATTTAAGCATATAGCCTAGGCTATATTCACTTGGCCTGGTCGGTAAGGCGATGATGTGCTGCATTTTGTAAACCTGATTAAGATAACTTCAAAGCTATAATTCAAGACTTATTTCATTAAAGGATTAACCAGCTATGTAGCGCACCATGGGGGGGGGGGGGGTAGAAATAGCCTAAGCTACTCTATCCCCTTGAGATGTATTTCTTTCTCTTAATAAACATACTTGTAGCGCACCTAAGCCTACATACAAAACCTTTTCATTTCATCCCTACACAATTCTTTTGTAAAATTCTGTACTTATTCGCGGAATAAGTACTGTAATAATTTGTATTTGTTACACGGTTCATAAATGAAGTGTAATTTCAAACTAGACTGGTTCACCCTTCACATGGTGAAGACAACTTTGAACACTGATTAGTCGTCAACCTTTCACCCAACAATGACAGTCCTTCTAGCTAACACGAATGGCAATACAAAATATCGACTACTGTACTATTCATGTTGTAGAGGACCCAAGAAAGAAGTCAACGGCCAAATCAAATTTTGCAGACCTCATATTGTGCATATGTGCTATATACATTAGGCCTAATTAGGGCCAAGATTCATGTTAGGTCTAAGGTGTCCCCTGAACGTGTAGGTTTATGGTAAGTCTTGTGTTCGAATCAAAGCTAAACTATTTTTGCATAAAATAGTCAACATTTTGTTCATTCTATCATACGGAAGGTCAATTTTTTGGAGGCTATATTAGTAGTAGCCAGGCTCAGGAGATACCTGGTTGATGGGGTTCTGGGAGTTGTTCTACTCCCCAAGCCCGGCCCGAGGCCAGGCTTGACTTGTGAGAGTTTGGTCCACCAGGCTGTTGCTTGGAGCGGCCCGCAGGCCCACATACCCACCACAGCCCGGTTGGTCCGGCACTCCTTGGAGGAAACCCGGCTGTATTAATGCAAGACGCAGAAACCGATTGAAATTACCTCATGTGGGATAGGACAATTAGCTCCTGTGGGAGAGGACAATTACCTCCTGTGGGAGAGGACAATTACCTCCTGTGGGAGAGGACAATTACCTCCTGTGGGAGAGGACAATTACCTCCTGTGGGAGAGGACAATTACCTCCTGTGGGAGAGGACAATTACCTCCTGTGGGACAGGACAATTAGCTCCTGTGGGAGAGGACAATTAGCAACTGTGGGAGAGGACAATTAGCAACTGTGGGAGAGGACAATTAGCTCCTGTGGGAGAGGACAATTACCTCCTGTGGGAGAGGACAATTACCTCCTGTGGGAGAGGACAATTACCTCCTGTGGGAGAGGACAATTACCTCCTGTGGGAGAGGACAATTACCTCCTGTGGGAGAGGACAATTAGCAACTGTGGGAGAGGACAATTAGCAACTGTGGGAGAGGACAATTAGCAACTGTGGGAGAGGACAATTAGCAACTGTGGGAGAGGACAATTAGCTCCTGTGGGAGAGGACAATTAGCTCCTGTGGGAGAGGACAATTACCTCCTGTGGGAGAGGACAATTAGCAACTGTGGGAGAGGACAATTAGCAACTGTGGGAGAGGACAATTAGCTCCTGTGGGAGAGGACAATTAGCTCCTGTGGGAGAGGACAATTAGCTCCTGTGGGAGAGGACAATTAGCTCCTGTGGGAGAGGACAATTACCTCCTGTGGGAGAGGACAATTACCTCCTGTGGGATAGGACAATTACCTCCTGTGGGAGAGGACAATTACCTCCTGTGGGAGAGGACAATTACCTCCTGTGGGAGAGGACAATTACCTCCTGTGGGACAGGACAATTACCTCCTGTGGGACAGGACAATTAGCTCCTGTGGGATTGGACAATTAGCTCCTGTGGGACAGGACAATTAGGACGCTGACGATAAAATACTTTAGTACACTAGGAAGTACCAGTTTATTTTATTTATACAATACCAACAAATAAAGTTTCTAGTTTACTGATGAGTTACGATTAGGAATACAAGTCACATTTTACACAAAATGGTTCATCAACGGACTTCGAAACCAACTTAAACGTGCTCAACCCACGAGCCTTGCCTAACGGTGTAGTAAAAACGAACTTTGCCAAACCGTCTTGGGTACAATTTAACCATACCCCGAGATCCATATATGACAGCCTCGGCATCTTGTTTAGATAGTACCTATCTTGAGGTTATCTTGAGATGATATCGGGGCTTTAGTGTCCCCGCGGCCCGGTCCTCGATCAGGCCTCCACCCCCAGGAAGCAGCCCGTGACAGCTGACTAACACCCAGGTACCTATTTTACTGCTAGGTTTACAGGGGCATAGGGTGAAAGAAACTCTGCCCATTGGTTGTAGCAGAGGAGAATCCCCGGCACGCTTCGAGCCATTGTAAACAATTATTCAGGATATAATATATAGCGAACAAATATTTAAGCTTGGATGCCAAGTCTGCACAAGCCTAACACGGTATAAAATGACAACAGCCCATGTTAAACCAGAACCCCAAATCGGTGCTATTAATTAATTAAGCAGACTATGAGTCATAATAACGGGGCTGAAGATGACCAAACACGTCAGAAGATGGAGAAACGACGACGTTTCGGTCCATCGTCGACCATTATCATGTCGTTTCGGTCCATCGTCGACCATTATCATGTCGTTTCGGTCCATCGTCGACCATTATCATGTCGTTTCGGTCCATCGTCGACCATTATCATGTCGTTTCGGTCCATCGTCGACTATTATCATGTCGTTTCTCCATCTTCTGATGTGTGGTTTGACCACTGGTGGTATTAAAATGGGTTAAGGGTTTAAGGAGGTCTAAAGGCGGCCACTACTTTCACGGCGCGTGTAAACCCACCCTTGAACAGTGCGTGCGCACACGCACACCGCGCGCGCGCGTCTCTCTCACACAATAATTATATACTTGGGTAAGTTCCGTGTTTTATTGAACGTCTCCAGTCCTTGACCCTCCGGCGGATGCCATCATCTCGTCCCAAGAACACAGCGACGGGCGCTATTCCTTCCCTTATAGCTACGGGCTCACCATAGCCTGTGCTGCTTTGTTCCAAGTAGCGAATTTTTAACAACCACCACCCCCTTATAGCTATTTTACCCCCCCCCCATCATAGCTATTAAACTTGAGACTCCATGGCTAGCAAAACGGGTATAACTTGCACAATACATGTTCACTGTAAACAGCATCATTGAATTCAACACAAAACAGTAAATAACCTTACCTTCTTTATCGAGGTAGATCCGAGTCAGGTAATTAGCTTCCTTACACCTAATAAGCACCATCTTGGAAGTCACGGAATCCACACCCGAGTCCCATTCGGTCTCTGTCTCAGTTTCCGATCTTCTGGTGACATCACTACTTGAAGACGAACTCGTTCCTATAGACCCTTTTCTGGGACTAAACACGTGGTTCCAGGGGCTGACTGCGCGGTTTCTTGGGCTACACGATCGATTCCCGTTTCTAGAACACAGATCCCTTACTCCATTAGCAGGACTTGCTCCGCGATTCTTCATGTCAGAAATACTCTCGCGACTACTGGTCTTGGAGATGGAACTGCTCGAGTCATTCCTGGGGCTGGTGCCACGGTCCCTGCTCTGTGGACTCGCTCCTCGTTCCCCTTCTGTGGGATCTTCTGTGTGATCGGCAGTCATCGCCGGCCAGGATTCCCTTCTGACGTAACGGCTAGGCTTCTTGATCTGCTCTTTGTTATCGTCGCTCAAGAACACTTGGTCGTTCTCCTCTTCACTCTTGTCACATTCTATGTTCCACACGCTCTTTTCACAACTCCAAGACTCTTGGTCCGTTGACCAATTCCTGTTCTGCCTGTTCCATTTTGTGGAATGGGTGTTCAGCTTCCCATTTTCGATGGTGTACCATTTATCATTTTCAAGTGAATGCCACTTGCCGTTTTCCCCCAGTCTCTTCCACGGTTGCCAATTATTGACTGGCTTGTCTTTGACTTCTATCCTGCACAACCCATATTTAAACCCTTGGTTTTTATTCCTAAGGTTGACACGCTTGGGGCTCAGCTGGGCGTATTCTTTGATGACTGACTTGAAATCCCCAGTTTTAACGTCCGGTTCAGAGTTTTTGCGAACTGGTGTAGACGTGACTTGTCCTCGGCCCCTACTCGAGTGTCCTTTCCGGGGACTCTCGCTCCTTTGCTCCGTGTTTCTGTCTAAGGAACTCGTTCTCTCCCGATTTCTCTCTTGAACGTGAACTGGTATTTTGCTTACTCTGGAGTTTTTATCTTGCTCGGCCGCCTGCTGCTGGTGGTTATGATCGTGTTGGAGGTGTGAAGCAGACTCGTCTTCGCTCCTCGTGTGCTTGGGGCTACCGTGGCCATAGTCGAAGCTGTACACCCGCTGTATGAACCTTGTACTGGCTCCCAGTGTCCCCAAGGTGTGGCGGGGACTCCCATTACAGCTGTTCCTCAAGACATGCCGGGGACTGTCGCAGTTGTTGTTGGCTAGGTGCCTGGGGCTGCCGTTGCCATTGCCGTCTTGCCCTGGGTTATGGCGAGGGCTAACGGGAATACCATTGCCAACACCGTTTCTGTGCCTCGGGCTGCCGTTGTTGTTGAAGCCGGGGGGTGGCATGTGGCTTGGACTCTCCTGTCCATCATTGCCATTCCTACCGTGGCGAGGGCTGCCACTTTCAGTCCTTGGAGGTCTTGGAGTGCCACTGGCGTATATGTTGTGCCTGGGACTGGCGTTGCCATAATTCACTTGCCAGGGGTTACCATTTCCATAACTTGTGTGTCTGGGACTACAGCTGCCAGAGATCACATGTCTGGGACTCCCATTGGCATAGTTTACATGTCTGGGACTCCCATTGGCATAGTTTACGTGCCTAGGACTTCCATTACCATTTCTTCCACCAACGTGGAGAGGGCTGCCATTTCCATTCCTGCCGCCGATGTGAAGAGGGCTACCATTACTATTTCTTCCACCAACGTGGAGAGGGCTACCATTACCATTTCTGCCGCCAACATGGAGCGGGCTACCATTACCATTGCCCTGCTTGCTGCTATTATTGTTGTTATTGTTGTGTGTCAGCCCCTCCCTGCTGACGATGATGTCGGGGACTTGTCTGTTGTCAAGTATCATGGTGGGGGAGGTGGTGGTGGGGCACCCGCCGCCCTGCACCACACAGCCACCACACAACCACACCGTGCCTCCGGTAGGGGAGAGGTGACCTCTGGCTCTAGGAAGGGCGGAGGAGGAGGCTGCAACCTTCACCTCCAGACCAGCAACGAGGCTCTCCGGTTAGACCACACCAGGTACCGCCAGAATATTGCCAGCGATACAGTTGATATTGAGCGCTGTAGTGAGGAAATTCGGGCAAATGATGGTTAGAGAGCGCTGCAATGGTCTTATTAACCAGACCCTAAACTACCGATATGGGGGGGGCACTAAACACTATAGTTATCACCTAAATCACTAGATGATGATTAATAGAGATACTTAGTTTAACACTGGTTACTGCGTCACTTATGGGTAGATATATATATATATTTAACTTGTCACTATTGCCTCAAGACACTAAACGCCTCACTACACACCAAAGTTATAAAGCACTTGACGAGGATATGCGTACAAGACACTGATTAGTGATGAAGGATTAACTTGAACTATGATTACACAACTGTAGTCTCGTCCAGTCGCACGCACACATTTGGCACTTGTTTCCAGCAGCTGTTTATGTTGCAAACAACCTCGAGGCGGTAGACACCTGCCTGACACTTGACGCCAATGGGATCTTCTCGCAGAAAACTTCAAGACAATCCAGGATCTTCTCGCGCAAAAGCAGGAAAAATATCCACGGATTTGTTTCTAGATTTCACGGGAACGCGTCAACACTGCGGGCTCCTTATACACACTATCTACACAACACCAAGGGCTTCCTTCACCAGTGACCCAGCTGCTTATCAGAGTGTTTCAGTAACCGAATCCGTCCTCTTGTATACACAACGCTTCACTTATATGTATTGTCCTTTAATATACGTCCGTGGGTGGGCCCTCTGGTGAGCGGTACACCCTAACCCGACGGCGTCCGGCGCGCAACTGACGATGGCGCTGCCAGCGAGCCCCGGCCACAGACGAGGGTGGCGGGGGAGCGATAATATCCCCATAAACAAACGCGTCCATTGTACGTCACATCTATTTTCCGATCTTAAATTCTTAACATTTTCATGGTTATAGCAAAAGATGCTTCCCTGGGCATACGTAAATACATCAAACGTGCAATAAAAGTGCTATGACTTAAAATGACAATAAATATAGATTGGCAACGTCAATTAAGAATACGATGTTGCCAGATGGCGATACCAGATGCGATCTTTTCTTTAACCTGTTATTAGTCTAATACGCAGAACATAACCCGAAGAGCAATATTACAAGGATGATAAGAAGCTTGCAGAGAAAAGGGGGAAGGGGGCGAAGGAGGGGAGGGGGTGAACTGGAGCAGGGGGGGGGGGAGGGAAGAGTATCTGGCACCATACAGGGAGTGCCAGCGCCAGCCTGCGCGCATGCGCCTCACCTATGACTGTAGAGTACACCAGCTTTACCACGGCGAGTTCACTACGCTAATACTAAGGGTAAACCAAGGTATACCCATAGTGAGTCTGGACCCCTTGAAATCCGGCTTAGAGGCAGCATCAACATTTGTTTATAAATATATAATTGTCTTTACTAAGTGCCCAGTGGCTGATGGCCGAACTGTGCCGGTTTGGGAGAGGGGGTGGGGGGTAGGGAGGGGGTGGGGGGGGGGGCAACAGCTGTAGTGAGGGTCTTTGTAGGAGGGGGTGAGGGGGGGGGGCAACAGCTGTAGTGAGGTCGTTGTAGGAGGGGGTGAGGGGGGGGCAACAGCTGTAGTGAGGGTCGTTGTAGGAGGGGGTGAGGGGGGGGCAACAGCTGTAGTGATGGTCGCTGTAGGAGGGGGTGAGGGGGGGCAACAACTGTAGTGTTGGGTCGCTGTAGGAGAGGGTGAGGGGGGGCAACAACTGTAGTGTTGGTCGCCGTAGGAGAGGGTGAGGGGGGGGGCAACAGCTGTAGTGATGGTCGCTGTAGGAGGGGGTGAGGGGGGGGCAACAGCTGTAGTGTTGGTCGCTGTAGGAGGGGGTGAGGGGGGGGGCAACAGCTGTAGTGTTGGTCGCTGTAGGAGGGGGTGAGGGGGGGGGGCAACAACTGTAGTGTTGGTCGCTGTAGGAGGGGGTGAGGGGGGGGCAACAGCTGTAGTGTTTGGTCGCCGTAGGAGAGGGTGAGGGGGGGGGGGGGGCAACAACTGTAGTGTTGGTCGCCGTAGGAGAGGGTGAGGGGGGGGGGCAACAGCTGTAGTGTTCGTCGCTGTAGGAGGGGGTGAGGGGGGGGCAACAACTGTAGTGTTGGTCGCTGTAGGAGGGGGTGAGGGGGGGGCAACAGCTGTAGTGTTGGTCGCTGTAGGAGGGGGTGAGGGGGGGGCAACAACTGTAGTGTTGGTCGCTGTAGGAGGAGGGGGTGAGGAGGGGGGGGGGGGCAACAGCTGTAGTGACGGTCGCTGTAGGAGAGGGTGAGGGGGGGGCAACAGCTGTAGTGATGGTCGCTGTAGGAGGGGGTGAGGGGGGGGCAACAGCTGTAGTGATGGTCGCTGTAGGAGGGGGTGAGGGGGGGCAAAAGCTGTAGTGATGGTCGCTGTAGGAGGGGGTGGGGGGGGGCAACAGCTGTAGTGATGGTCGCTGTAGGAGGGGGTGAGGGGGGGCAACAGCTGTAGTGAAGGTCGCTGTAGGAGAGGGTGAGGGGGGGGCAACAGCTGTAGTGACGGTCGCTGTAGGAGAGGGTGGGGGGGGGGCAACAGCTGTAGTGACGGTCGCTGTAGGAGAGGGTGAGGGGGGGGGCAACAGCTGTAGTGATGGTCGCTGTAGGAGGGGGGTGGGGGGGGCAACAGCTGTAGTGACGGTCGCTGTAGGAGAGGGTGAGGGGGGGGGGGGCAACAGCTGTAGTGACGGTCGCTGTAGGAGGGGGTGAGGGGGGGGCAACAGCTGTAGTGATGGTCGCTGTAGGAGGGGGTGAGGGGGGGGCAACAGCTGTAGTGATGGTCGCTGTAGGAGGGGGTGAGGGGGGGCAACAGCTGTAGTGATGGTCGCTGTAGGAGGGGGTGAGGGGGGGGGCAACAGCTGTAGTGACGGTCGCTGTAGGAGGGGGTGAGGGGGGGCAACAGCTGTAGTGACGGTCGCTGTAGGAGAGGGTGAGGGGGGGGGGCAACAGCTGTAGTGATGGTCGCTGTAGGAGGGGGTGAGGGGGGACAACAGCTGTAGTGATGGTCGCTGTAGGAGGGGGTGAGGGGGGGGCAACAGCTGTAGTGATGGTCGCTGTAGGAGAGGGTGAGGGGGGGCAACAGCTGTAGTGACGGTCGCTGTAGGAGAGGGTGAGGGGGACAACAGCTGTAGTGATGGTCGCTGTAGGAGGGGGTGAGGGGGGGCAACAGCTGTAGTGATGGTCGCTGTAGGAGAGGGGTGAGGGGGGGGGCAACAGCTGTAGTGACGGTCGCTATAGGAGAGGGTGAGGGGGGGGGCAACAGCTGTAGTGATGGTCGCTGTAGGAGAGGGTGAGGGGGGGCAACAGCTGTAGTGATGGTCGCTGTAGGAGGGGGTGAGGGGGGGCAACAGCTGTAGTGATGGTCGCTGTAGGAGAGGGTGAGGGGGGGGGCAACAGCTGTAGTGACGGTCGCTGTAGGAGAGGGTGAAGGGGGACAACAGCTGTAGTGATGGTCGCTGTAGGAGGGGGTGAGGGGGGGCAACAGCTGTAGTGATGGTCGCTGTAGGAGGGGGGTGAGGGGGGGGGCAACAGCTGTAGTGATGGTCGCTGTAGGAGAGGGTGAGGGGGGGGCAACAGCTGTAGTGATGGTCGCTGTAGGAGGGGGTGAACAGCGTAGTGTGGGGAGGGGGGGGGGGGGGGGCAACAGCTGTAGTGATGGTCGCTGTAGGAGGGGGTGAGGGGGGGGCAACAGCTGTAGTGATGGTCGCTGTAGGAGAGGGTGAGGGGGGGGACAACAGCTGTAGTGATGGTCGCTGTAGGAGGGGGTGAGGGGGGGCAACAGCTGTAGTGATGGTCGCTGTAGGAGGGGGTGAGGGGGGGGGCAACAGCTGTAGTGATGGTCGCTGTAGGAGGGGGTGAGGGGGGGCAACAGCTGTAGTGATGGTCGCTGTAGGAGGGGGTGAGGGGGGACAACAGCTGTAGTGATGGTCGCTGTAGGAGGGGGTGAGGGGGGGGGGCAACAGCTGTAGTGATGGTCGCTGTAGGAGGGGGTGAGGGGGGGGGCAACAGCTGTAGTGATGGTCGCTGTAGGAGAGGGTGAGGGGGGGGACAACAGCTGTAGTGATGGTCGCTGTAGGAGGGGGTGAGGGGGGGGCAACAGCTGTAGTGATGGTCGCTGTAGGAGGGGGTGAGGGGGGGGGGCAACAGCTGTAGTGATGGTCGCTGTAGGAGGGGGTGAGGGGGGGGCAACAGCTGTAGTGATGGTCGCTGTAGGAGAGGGTGAGGGGGGCAACAGCTGTAGTGATGGTCGCTGTAGGAGGGGGTGAGGGGGGGGTGACAACAGCTGTAGTGATGGTCGCTGTAGGAGAGGGTGAGGGGGGACAACAGCTGTAGTGACGGTCGCTGTAGGAGGGGGTGAGGGGGGCAACAGCTGTAGTGAGGGACCACCACTACACGATACACTCTCAGGTCCTACACTTGCATAACACTGAATGAATAACAAACATCAACAAGGATCTACGTGATCTAAGGGAACAAACCTTCACACTTAATAATAATAATATTACAGTATTATTATTTATACAAGATATGGTTATATATTATTTTTATAAACCACTAATGATGAAAACGTGGTGAAAGGGAAGATGAATGAGGCAATAAGATGCTCTGCCACAGTACCAGCAGCGAGATGAAGCAGCATCCCTCCACCACCCATACACACTATACATCATACATCACCAACCATACATGCAATCGTTGAATCATACAGCCATTCTGACCTGAATGAGACCATAGCTGGGGCGTGGGGAGCTGCTGTGGGTCCTGGCTGGGGTGTGGGGAGCTGCTGTGGGTCCTGGCTGGGGTGTGGGGAGCTGCTGTGGGTCCTGGCTGGGGTGTGGAGAGCTGCTGTGGGTCCTGGCTGGGGTGTGGGGAGCTGCTGTGGGTCCTGGCTGGGGTGTGGGGAGCTGCTGTGGGTCCTGGCTGGGGTGTGGGGAGCTGCTGTGGGTCCTGGCTGGGGTGTGGAGAGCTGCTGT